AGCGGGTGTTTATGTGGCGGGGAGAACCCGTACACGCCACCTTCACACACCCCCCCCTGCGCGCGCTTCGAGCTGTGCGTGGGGTCTCTTTTCTTGCCCAATCCAGCGAGTGGCTGAGTCAGGTATGCAAAGGCTTATTTATTTCAAGTTGTGACACTGTACACGACCGGCCAGAGCTCATAAGTCACCATAACTAAGCGGGATATTTGTGCGATATGTTCCAGCTCAGAGGTAACGGTTGTCAAAGTGGTTAACGTGTTGGGGAAGGGGGAGGGGAAGGATTGTGGTTTGTTTGCGGCTTAACCGTTTAGGCCCTCGCATCGCCATGGCGAAAGTGTGAAGGCGTTGGAAATATGACTGGGTCTGTTCAACAGACTGCCCAGATTGGGCCAAAAGCAGAGTAATTCAAAGAATGACCAGGTAGACGGGCAAAATGTTAAGAAATGCAAAAGGCAGATTACGAAGCCAGTTCATAGTTGACCTGCACAATTTGGAGCACAGTTTACATGCACCAAGAAGGCCTGTTTATATGGCATTTTTGTCACGACACTGCCATTAAAAATGAAGGTGAACGTAATCGTCCCGGTACTCGTGTCTATTTCCAAATCATCGAAGCATATCTGACATTTACTTAGCCTTAATAGCATTAAAAATGAACCATTGGTTGACTTCTACAGAACCATTTAATTCTTTGTCACATTAAGCAAGCCAGTACGGGACAGAGTTCAATCCGTTTTGTGAAATAAAACCCATTTTTTAGTATGTTTCCCACGTTTTGATAAAGATGCATACGAGGAGTTATTTAAGAAGGATTTGTGGAAAGCGGCGGACTAAAAAATGTGTGGGGCGACAAACTTTAGATTGTTACTTTCGAATTTGGCTCATTGCAACGGATTAAAATAGCATCATAGCTCCACGCGTCTGAGAGAGATTTTAATCAGCAATTAGAGAAATCTTACTAAAACATCCCCTACGTCTTTGGAAAAACTAACGTATTGGTAGGTACACTTTCTGCCATTATCAGAAGGCTATGAAGCCGCTACCCTAAGTTAGACCAGGTGTTCCCGTTGGATGTCTGACGGAGCGAAGCCTTGAATTTTACGAAGCTCAACAGAGATAACTGGTTGATGAAGTTTTACCTCTAATGTCTACCCATATTGTAAGTTTTTTGTGGTCGATATCTGTAAGATGTTGTACGTTCCGTCCCAAAGTAACAGTTGAGTCATAGACTGACGGTCAAAACTGAGAAAACGGCGTAAACATACATCGTGGTTTAAAAAGGTCCGGTCTAAAATTTTGAATTACTTAAAATGTAAGATTTAATGGCAAAACGTTTCTTTGAAAAATAAAAGCAAAGAATAGGGAAAATAAGAGTAACAGGCAATTACAGTCGGCTGCGCGAAATACAGGAAATTTATGTGGATGTGATAGACTGTGTGAGACACTTGCAGAGGCAAATACACATGATAGGAACAAACTACACTGTTCCCTAATTGAGGTGTGCTTAGAGGAGGTTGGACCATCAGGAACCAGTTTTTCGTCCACTTCTGCGTAGTGGACACTTTACCAAACCATGGATTAAACATGAGACACGCACAAAAGCGGTATATCTTGCAGAATTTTGATAGAAATTCTGCAATGTGTCTTCGATTGATAAGGTTTACTTAAATGTGGTCGTAAAACTGATTATCATGCAGCAAAATCCCGAGGTACTTTAGTCTTGCCAGGATGATGGCTTTGGAATACGATCTACTCCGGTCGCTTGCAAAACCCCACTCCCCAAAAAGTACTTAAATAGTATCATTTTTCAGTTGAATTTTGATACTCTCATAAATTCCGGTGTGGTTTGCGGAAAATATGCACAAACTACCCTCCCCTGTACGGATTTAGTATCAAGCCACAGCTTTTGTAATTAATATGCCCAAGGAAGATTTGCTTTCAGTGTTAGAAAGTTCTTTCCCTTCTGAAATAATTTTGAACCCCGTCTGGCGTTCCAATTGCGTTCAGGGCTTCATGTAAGAAAAATCATATATTATTTTACGTCAATAAAAAAAAATTCCGTGAGATTTTTTAATAGACGTGAATCGTGTTGCCCGCTTCACAAGGCCACGCAGAGCCAAAAACGTTTTAAATTCAGCAGCCAAAAATGAGCACAAGAAGTCATATTTTCTGCTTGTTCTTTTGTAGACAAATTTGAATTCATGAGAGCCTCAGAAATCGAGGCAAAAATCGAGCCCTTTAAGCAGCTGTCTTTTGGAGAGTGTCGTTCTTTGTAGACGGCAGGAAGTAATTAAAGTGCGGCATGAACAGCAGTGAAATTCTGCTAGTAAAAAAACACCTTACGACAATGCTGCATGCCATCTGCATATAAAGATTCAAATCCAAACTCTCTTACAGATAAACATGCAAATAGCCATGCATCAATCAATTAGGAGCTTTTATATGGGTTCTACAGATTATATTTACTCCCCCTACCTTATTATAAAGACGTAGGCAAAAAAGTCGCAGATCAGTTGTTCTTTGTCTTTTTCAATTGAGAACAATATAAAAGCATCGCCGAAGGAATGCCTACGTATCCTTACGTAACTTTGTTGAACAGTTAATATACTGTCCTAGATTAATAATTACATACGTCGGGAATGTAGCAAAAATCGCCCAGGTTCTTTTTGAAAGTCGAACGGTAGTAAAATGCGCCATTTTCCCCAGAAAGGACAATACACACATTCAAACAAGTGCAATGAGGGTTCGGCGTCGTTAAATGGTAAATTTAATGCGGTAAAATACGCATATGAAAGATAAACCCCTCGTTCTGGTGCGCTAACAACGGTTTATGGGTTTCGCGCAGCAGATTTCCTGGGAGTCAGATCCACCATGCTTATCGTGCGTTGTTGACAAACACAAAAAGTCTTGGATTCCTTTCTTTTAATCGGTAATTGAGGATCATGGGCAATTTAATGATCCGTAAGTGTACTTACACGGACATTCTAAAAGTTTTTTTCCAACACCCTACGTAGATCAAGACAAATCCAGTCTGCGCAACCGGTTGTAAACTGTTTTTAATTTTTGCATGCTGATTTACACATTATTTCTAGGCTGTTCACCGTCAATAAACTGGCCAGATGGTGTGTTCACTGTGCTCAAAGTGTGAAAACCTCCTACATTTTTTTTATTTTCTAACCACTCAGGTTTCTGGAGTTCTTAAGGTGCTCGACATCGCATTTTGGACGGTGAGTGCAACGCACTTGATTCAGACTTAGCCGAGTACTTTAATGCTCACCGGTCTTTATTTTTCGCACTTTGCCGTCCTTAAGCCAGGAACGAAGTCGGCAACATGTCTTCACTGCCTGTGTTTCTGCCGATTTGCGCTCTCCGTCCGTGAGTGGAATTCACTTAGAACGCAAAAATCGTCGGGTATGATTTGTTCATTAAGAGAACAATTCTCATTGGCTAGCGTGCAAAGTGAGCAAGGATGATTTG